GACGCCGCGCTGCTGACGCTGCCGGTGCTGCGCATGCTGCACTACGCCATGCCGTTCGCGTCGTCCTTCGCCCTGCTCTGCGAGTCCGTGCGATTCCTCATGAAGTCACACGCCTTCGTGCGCTCCAACACGCCGCGAGCGCTGGCCGAGGGCGTCGTCCCCGCCTTCCACAAGTTCCTGTACTTCATGTTCGCGCCCACGCTCGTGTACAGCGACTGGTACCCCAGGCAAGTGGCTCTCACAGTACTGTTGCAAATTACAAATTACAGTCGAGAACATTTTGTGCTAAGCTTTGTCAGGAACATTTTTTTGGACTTGGGAAAATGCGAGAAAATAATGCAAACCTTTCCTTGTGCGCAGAACCGATTTTTTGACGGGCCGGTCACCGAACGTCCGCTGGCGCTTGGTGGCCTACCACTTGCTGGAGGTCGTGGGCTGCCTGTTCTACATCAGCTTCCTCGTACAGCGCTACCATCTGCCCGTGTTCCGCGACTTCGGCCTGCGTCCCCTGACCCCCCTGGAGGGTGCCTCCGCCGTGCTGTCCACCGTGCTGCCGTCGGGGATGGTCATGCTCTGCTACTTCTACCTGCTACTGCATGCCTGGCACAACGCCTGGGCCGAGATGCTGCGCTTCGGGGACCGCATGTTCTACCTGGTTTGTACGGTGGAGTGGACTGCTAGTTCAGGATAGTCGCTGCTGTGCCCCGGTGGAGCCCACACAGAAAGGAACATTTTGAGTTTCAAGTACTTTTGTACCAATACTGACCCTTTCCGAGGATATCCGTCTGAAAGGATATATTAGCGAAAAGCCTAAACGTGATCATTTATGGTGGACATTGTTGTGCATGAAAAGCTGTAACTACATTGGAAAAAAAAAGGCAGGACTTTCAAAGGTGATACATTTCAATGCCCTTAGAAAGGCTCGAAAATGTCCAGGTACTAAAAGTTAGCACCTCTGCGGCATTTCATTGCCATTCCAGGGCTGCGAATCGTTTAGTGCCTCTGTAAAGGCACCAAAGTCATGAACACCTCAAGAAGGGTGTTGATTCCTACCTTTGTTTTTCCAGTGTATGGCTGCATAGAACTCTGCAAATCTTATGCACAACTAAATGCATTGTGTGTAAGCTGCTAATTGTGATCTATGAAGTTATTTGTAATTTGTAGACCTAAACTGTCATATTTTTAAAAATGTGCTGTTTATCCCTATGCGAAGGACTGGTGGAACCAGGGGTCCTTCGCCGCCTGGTACCGCACGTGGAACGTCCTGATAAATGACTGGTTGTACGCTTACGTGTACAAGGACGTCGTCCTCCTCGGCGGTAGCCGCCTGGCGGCGAAGGCGATCGTCTTCTTCCTCTCCGCCGCGGTGCACGAGTTCCTCATGGGGTTCACGCTGCGCCTCTTCTACCCCGTGACTTACTTTTTCTTCGGTATCATAGGATGTAAGACTGAGGTCTTAAATATTCGGGCTGATATAGTCTTGGTGTGTAGTTCGTGTGGTTAACAGCGTCGTTTCTCCTTTTTTCTAGTTTTGATGTCGTTTTTGAATTTTGGCTCGACAGCGGTGGGAAACATAGGACTGTGGCTGTCGTTGTTCATTGGCGACGGCTTGCTGTTCAGCTTATATGCTATGGAATACTACGCCCGTCAAAACTGCGAGCAAATCATTGTGAGTATTAGTTATGAGTTCTAGCAATCATGTTTAGTTGGAGGTTTTTTCACCTAGCTTTCCGGCTCTAATGTTTCCAGGATTCGTCACGGGATCTCTTCATTCCACGGTCCTGGAGTTGCGTGCCAATTGCCTCCAAGACGTGAGCTACTTCGGATCATCCTGCTAATCAACCGTATTAAGACTGCGAGCGTCGAATGTGGTACGATGGTCCCCTCGACCAGGCCACGAAGTTTCGTGCAACAGCGCAACGTATCTCCAACAGTCCAAGAAGCTGCAGAACTGTCCATAAGGGTGCAACAGTTCGCGAATAAGGCGCAACTACGCCGAACCGCCATGCTGCCGTCGGCTGGAGCGTAACGGCGTGGCACCCCGGAGCTGGCGGGATGGGGGTGGGGTGGGGTAGGGGAGCAAGACGCTGTCGCTAGTGCAGCAGTACGTCCACTGTAAATTGTTGCTTACGAACAATGCCAACTAAAACCTTCGTAGCTCGCGAAGGATTTTGAAGCGTTGTATAACGATCTTATTGTTCGTTTGCGTACGAACTAATGGCTCGTAATGCAAACCGATTGTTCTTAAGAACATTCATAGCTTTAAAAACAATTTCTTTGCAATTCAAAGAATGTAAATAATTCGTGACGTGTTGCAAAGCATTTAGTTCGCAAGCAGTTTACAGTGTAGCGCCTGCCCTGCCTCCTGCCACACGTGCCCTGCTTTTCTATGCTTTAGTCACCCTAATATGTGATAGATTTTTGATACTTTATTCTCTGTCCCTGTTGAGGGTGGTTTTAAAAAGAAAAACATCGATTACCTCTCAAAAATCTGATTTTGTCTTTCACGCCCCCTTACACGCCTACACAACAATTTCTAGTTTGAGCCCGATAGGACGCCAACAAACAACACTACGGGCAACGCCAAGTGACGCAATTTTCTCCTAACGCATTTTTATATTCACTTCTTTTGGTGTAAAAGCGAAAGACTTGCCTAAATCTTAGATAAATAGCACTAGTATATTTTATTTCGGCATGTTTTCGAACGCACGCGGTGCACACCGCATCCCTGAATCCCGACACACCTGCCTGATAAGCCGCCTTCCTCGCGGAGATAGCCTCGCGGGCCAACACAATGATATTGCGTTTGATTTCGCCCGCGCCAAGCTGTCCACACCTGAAGCGCCCCGCGAGGTGGTCTGACCTTGTCAGTGTCAAGCCCGCCGGCCAGCTTCCGCACCATCGTGGAGCATAGCGGAGCATCGCGGAGCCCGGCGTGTTCACGCCAAAGAGCGGCTGCGAAGCGCGCAAAGCTGTCCGGTGGGGCGGCGGCGGATGCGGCTGGCCGCGCGAGCGAGCGCCTGTGAGGTAGGCAGCTCGCCCGCACGGCTGTCGCGCTTCTGAGAGGCTGCCTACCTCACAGGCGCTCCACGACGCGACCGGCCGCAGACGGACCAACCGAGCGACCACGCCGCCGGCCCGGCAGTGAGTGATCGTATCGGATGTCGATCCCATGATGCTACGTGACTTTTATGCGGAAAGGAGGTGGGGGGGGGG